GGTGCTGTTGTCTACAGCCCTCCCCCACCCCTTCATCCTTCTCTGGAACCTCATTCCCTGTCTCTTTCCTTAGTTTGTCCCAAACGCTGCCCAACTAGACGCAACCCCCCTCCCCACACCGCAGTTGCACTTCTCCCGAGGTCATGTCTACTCTTCCAATTCCCGGACACGCCCCCACCCGCTCTGGGATCTCTGTCTTGCTCGCCTTCATTCTGGACCTGGGCCCCTGCCTCTCCTCCAGCCCCGCGCCCCTGGGGAGCAGGTGTCTGGGTCCCTGTGCAATAGGGATTGAGCTGGAGGTGGGAAGGGGACATGGTTGCTCTGAAGGCAATCGGAGAAACGGGGCTGTGGACTCCGAGGGTCACAGAGGACCCTCACCCCACTTGCAGATGGGAAAGAGGCTGAGGGAGCCTCACTGCTGGAGGCAGAAGCCTGGCAGGTGGAAAAAGGAAAGGAAGACATGAAAGAGAGGAGGTGGATGGAGGGGGTAGAAGTGACCCCCTTGTCCCTTCATATCTGCCGGGGTTCCCATGCCCTCACATCCCCTGCTGGGCGGGGTGCTGGAGCGGGGAGCGGTGGGCAGGCTCGGCCATGCTTCCTGTTGGCATGGGCTTCAGCTGCCCCACCCCCTCTCTTCTTGGCCTCCTGGCCGGAGGAAACCAGTCTGCCCTGACCTTCCATGGGGCTCCTGGTCACTGCAGAGCTGCCTGCCTCCCTCACCCCCAAATCCCAAGCTTGAGCCTCCATCCCCCAAGATTCCTCCTCAAATCAGTGCCCCCCCCCCCCCCCCGGACCAGCCCGATTCCACATCCCTTAAGCCAGACTGGTCTCCAACCCCTCCTTTCCTGTTGGGCAATTCTGTTCTGTCCTCAAGCCACTAATTCCGACCCGTGTCCTCCCTGTGTCCCTTCGCTGCCCCGCTGACCACGGCTGGAATGTGCCGGGAGCCTGCTCAGACTTGTCGGGGCCCCACCTGTCCTTTCCCTTTCCATTCACTATCCTCAGTCAGGTCCTTCCCCAAAAGATGCTCTCGGCCTCCTCCTTCAGACCGGGAGGCCAGGTCCTCCTCGCCTCCTCCCCTGGGACCCAGGAGGCCAGGCTACTATACACCTACTTCTCCATTAGTTCCCAGATTAAACAGCATACGGATTCTGAGGAAGTTGGGCTTCTTAATGATAGAGAAGGGTCAGGGTGTGTGTGTGTGTGTGTGTGTGTGTGTGTGTGTATGACCATTTCCCCCCCCCACCCCAGCCAGTTTCTTCTGGCTTCTACCCTGAGTGCTGAGGTTCTGGGTAAACGTTCAGGTTTAGATAAGGACCAAGGAGCCACCCGCCTATTGGGAGAAGCTAGTTTCTCTCCTCACCCTCCCTTCACCAAACCAAGGGTTACCGCTCCCCTAATCTGCTCGTGGGCGACTTGAGTATCTGATCAGCCCCTTCCCCCTGACTCCAGGGGTCCTGGACCTCCAGCTGTCTAATGGCAATACCTTCAAAGACCAAGACACTGAGACCCCTTGTCCCTTCATTATGCAGAGAGGACCCCCAGTCCTTGCCTCCCTGCATCCCAAACTCCAGCCCCCAGTCCCCTCTGCCCTCAGACCAGGAGTCTCAGCCCCCAGCCCCTCCTCCCTCAGACCCAGCAGTCCAAGCCCCCAGCCCCTCCTCCCTCACACCCAGCAGTCCAAGCCCCCAGCCCCTCCTCCCTCACATCCAGCAGTCCAAGCCCCCAGCCCCTCCTCCCTCACACCCAGGAGTCCAGGCCCCCAGCCCCTCCTTTCTCAGACCCAGAGTCCAGGCTCCAGCCCCTCCTCCCTCTGACTCAGAGTCCAGGCCCCCCAACCCCTCCTCCCTCAGACAAAAGTCCAGGCCCCCAGCCCCTCCTCCCTCTGACCCCTCTGACCCAGGAGTTCCAGCCCCCAGGCCCCTCCTCCCTCTGACCAGGGAGTCTCAGCCCCCAGCCTCCCGTGGCCCAGAATGAGTTTCACTCACCGTGCACCCTCCGAACCACAGCATCTCCGCGTGTAGCACCATGAGCCCGATGCCAATTCCCGCCAGTGTCAGTGCCCAGCAGGCCAGCCACTTCTCCTGCTCCAGCAGGCGCTTTCGCCGCCGAAGGGCTCCCAGGCCAGGCACCAGCTCCCCGCCCATGGCCCCCTGGGTCTTGGGACTCAGCCAGCTTCCTGCCCAGGGTCCCCCACCTCGCAGCACACAAAGGGCAGCCACTGTGGCTTGCAGGTCCTCAGCCTGCTCCGTTCAGTTGCTCTGGGGCTCTCGCTTTGAGGCACAGGGAGCCGGTGCCCTCTGGGGGTGGTGTCTGCTGGGCAGGGCAGGGAGGGGCCGGGAGGCCCTTGGGCAGAGGGGAGGCTCCCCAACCCCGCTTCTCAGACTAAGGAGGGGCTGGAGTGTGTCTTGGGGCAGAGCAAGGAAGAATCGTGCATCCTCGTGGATGAAGGCACACTGACCCAATGGTCACACACAACGGCCTGCACTGTGTAACACACACCTACGTCTAGCCACGCCCAGGCACCATGTGACACCAGCACACCCAGCGTGGTCAGAGACAGAACCGAACACACATGGCCACACAACACAACCTACACCAAGTGACTCACAACTCCCAACAAGTTCTGAAACCCACAGCCACACCCAGACACCACATACATGGTGTGACACACTCCGGCACTCAGCGAGGAGGCAGACAGCGCCCCATGGCACACACAGCCACCCAAATATTGTCTACACACCGGCACAAACATTGAGATCAAAATGGGCACGACATTGCCTGACACTCCCAGCCACACCCAGACACCACATACTGGATGCACACACATAAGCTACACAAGCACAACATATAGCAAGTGTTCCGCAAACACACAGATTGTGCTGACATAGCGGTGCCCAAACGCCACACACACATGTCGGTGTTAACAGTGCACTCTCAGTGTCCCACGCGTGACATACCTGGGGAATGACATCCAACACGTGCAGACATACAGCACTTAGGGACACCCCATGGCGGTCCCCATCACCCAGCACGTGGAAAACTGCACACGGACACACGTCATGCACATGGCGACTCACACAGATGCTCGGAGGCTGGTTCACAGCGCACACAGTGTGCCCCCGTACACGTGCCATTCTAGTGTGTAATCGGAGAGCAGTGTGAATGGACGCAGGCAGAGACCTACACTGTACAGCGACACACAGAATCCCTAACAGCATGGGCCCAAAGGAAGACATCACAGAGGACACAACCCAGAATCGTGCCCCTGGGAAGGGGGCACAGGCTCCACGCACACCAGGGCCCAAATGCAATGTGTACAGAGGAACACATGCACCACTGCCTCTGACGGACAAGCCACATCCAGGCACCGTGTACGGCAGCCACACACGGCCCTGCCCTCCATATACGGCACCACGCACGACCACACAAATGCAGCACGCACAGGGAAATGCGCAAAGACACAGCGACACTAAACACCTCCGCACCACACTGCCCCACACCACCTTCGACAAACACCACGTGTCCCATGACTCAGCAAAGGGGACCCACGGACAGAGCTGATAGGCCTGCAACAACCCCGCACAGAACACCAGAGGACACCCTGCGGCACAATGCAATACACAGCCTCACAAACACAACCCACTCTGAGTGTGGGCACCCAGGCCGATACTGGCAGGGAAAGGAGAGGCCCCCAACAAGGACAGGCACCTCCACATAATACAAATGGTCACCTCACTGAATGGCCCACAGCTTTACACATACAGCACCCAGAGAGACACACACCACACACTGACACACAGAATAATAGCACACACAGTGCAGGGTCTGACCACATCTGGGAGGCACAAATCAAAAGCCTCCTACAGCAACACACGGGGACACCCTGGCACGGTGACACACTCACCTCGCACAGCGTCACACACTGATCTCCCGACACACCGGTGGCCCCAGGGACACCACGCTTGGGGGAACACAGAGCCATAACCCCTCTCCTCTTTCGTGTCCTGTGTCATGCGGAAACCTGGGCCCGCCAGCCACAGGGAAATGAGACATGCACAGACGTGCCTGGCAACACACTAACACAACCCACACAGACACACCCAGAGACACCAAACCACACACACAGACCCTCCCAGTGACAAAAACACAACCCGTGCCGGGGCCCTGCCCCGTGGCACACATGGCTTTCACTGGGTGAGACACACCCGGGCACACTCAGACGCCACACACACATCTGCTCGGAGAAACCGCTGCCGCTGGGCACTCTTAGGGCTGAGCCTAAGTGCCCTGGCACCTGCCGCCCTTGGGCCTGGCACGGATCCCCGTGTGCCTCTCCCCTCCTGGTTCTCAGGGCCTCCCCTCCGACTCCTCTCTTAGTCTCTCCGGCTCTAGAAACCTCTGGGTTCATTTTTATTTCTGCCTCCTGTCTTTCTCTGTCTCTGTTTTTCTCTCCTTTTATGCCTTTGTCTCTTTCTACCTCTCTGTCTCTGCCTCCCTCAGCTCCGTGTCTGTGTGTCTCTTAGCATCTCTGTCACTGTCTTCATTTTCGTGTCCCTCTGTTTTCCTTTATTCTTGCTCCCTGTCACTGTCTCTCTGCCTCCACGTCCCTCTCTGTGTTTATCGATGTCTGTGTCTCTGTGTTTGTCTGTTTCCATCTCTGTCTCCGCTCTTTTCTATCTCATTTTCTCTGTCTCTATCTCTTGCTGACTCTGGTCTCTCTGTCCATGTCCGTATCTCTGTTTCTCTCCCGGCCCTTTCCAGTTCCACCCCACCCCACTCAGGGGCCAAGGGCCAGAGACACAGAGACTGCCTGAGAGAGTCAGAGCCACGGACAGAGACCTCCGGCACCAGCCCCTCCACAGCTGTGCCTCAGGGCAGGCACCGGGAAACTGACACAGAGGGAGAGACACCCTGAGTCCTTAGTGGTGCAGCCAGGTGTGTGTGTGTGTGTGTGTGTGTGTGTGTGTGTGTGAGAGAGAGAGAGAGAGAGAGAGAGAGAGAGAGAGAGAGAGAGATTGAAAAGGAGGAGGGGAGGAGAAGAGGGAAAGAGAATGGATTAAAAGCAAAGCAGAGATGGAGAGAGAAGAGACCCAGAGGTAAAGAGAAAGCAGAAACCAGAATCAAGACAGGAAGTTATTGCAGAGAGATTTTGTCTTCAAAGAGACCACGACTGAGACAAAAGGAGCAAAGGCTGGACGTGCCGGTGGACAGCAATGGGCACACAGGGGGAAGGGCACCTGTCTCCAAATTGAAGTTCCAGGCTGTGGGGGTCAGTGCGTAGGAAACGTGGCTTGAGCCGGCTCCCTCCAGTCCAGGGAGGGGCTGAGCTGGGCGGTGGGGGTGACTCAGGGCCCCAGAGCTTCCTGTGACTCAGCTTTGGTCTCAATCTGGAGGGGGTTGGAGGGGAGGAGGGGTCTCAGTAAAAGGGAGGAAGTAAGGAGCACCAGAGGGCCTCTGTGCCTAGGCTGGCCCCTAGGAGGGGACTGCGAGCTACTGCAGGGACTGAGGGGAGGAGCAGACTGGGGGTGTGGACTCTGGGGCCCAGACTCCTGAGTCTGAGAAAGGAGGGGGCTGGGGGCCCAGACTCCTGGTTCAGAGAAACCAGAATAACTGATTCCAAAGTCCCTGGGACTTTTTGCTGGCCTCGTCCCAGCAGCCCCACCTTCCTCCCAGCCCCATCTCCGGGTCTGGAACAGACCCAGGTGCCTTGGGGCCCAGCCGGAAGGGGCTAAGGACAAAGGGTTGTTTAACTGCTCAGGGAGTGAAGAAGAGGGTGTCTCAGGCGGAAAGGTCACTCGTCGCCCAGGGCTGGTGCAGGGAAAGGCGGGGCTGAGCCAGGGGTAAGACATCCTGAAAGTCAGGCCTGTGGCTGCAAATCCTCCAGGGCAGGCAGTCTTTTGGATTAAGGCAGTGGGTGGCTTCAGGGCATCGAGCTGCTGCCACCTAGTGGTGGACTTGGGAACTGCAGGAACTCTGCTGGTCTAGCCTAGTTTCCGGCCAACATACATTGAGCACCTACTGAGGCAGGTACTGCTCTAAGCATTGAGGGTAAGTAATAATAAAACAGACAAAATCCCTGCCCTCTCGGAGCTCCCGAGCTAAGGAAGCCTGGTGGTTTTGTCAGTCTCGCTCTCTTGCCCTGGCTTTCACTCTGGCTCTGTATTTGCTTCTTTTTCTCTGCGTGTCTCCCTGGCCTTGCTTCTCAGTTTCTGGCTCTTGGCCTCTGTCCGCGATGGCTTGTCTTTTCCTTCCTCCTTTTTTTCTTTCCCTCTGTTTTTGTTTGTTTTCTTCTTTGTATCTTTTTTTTTGTTAAATATATTTTATTGATTTTTTACAGAGAGGAAGGGAGAGGGATAGAGAGTTAGAAACATCAATGAAAGAGAAACATCGATCAGCTGCCTCCTGCACACCCCCTACTGGGGATGTGCCCGCAACCCAGGCACGTGCCCTTGACCGGAATCGAACCTGGGACCCTTCAGTCCGCAGGCTGACTCTCTATCCACTGAGCCAAACCAGTTAGGGCCTTTGTATCTTTTAAAAAATATATATTTTATTGATTTTTTACAGAGAGGAAGGTAGAGCGATAGAGAGTTAGAAACATTGATCAGCCAAAACCGGTTTGGCTCAGTGGATAGAGCGTCACCCTGCGGACTGAAGGGTCCCAGGTTCGATTCCGGTCAAGGGCACGTGCCTGGGTTGCGGGCATATCCCCAGTGGGAGATGTGCAGGAGGCAACTGATCGATGTTTCTCTCTCATCGATGTTTCTAACTCTCTATCTCTCTCCCTTCCTCTCTGTAAAAAATCAATAAAATATATTAAAAAAAAGAAACATCGATCAGTTCCCTCCTGCACACTCCCTACTGGGGATGTGCCCGCAACCAAGGTACATGCCCTTGACTGGAATTGAACCTGAGACCTTTCAGTCCGCAGGCCGATGCTCTCTCTATCCACTGAACAAAACCGGTTAGGGCTCTTCTTTGTATCTTTTTGTTCCCCACCAATTAACAATGATGTCTATTACTATGTTAAATTAGCTATCATAATTATGTGTTAATATATAACGATGTATTAATTATATATAATTAGGTATTAGTATATAATTATACATATATCAATCTGGGAGTCTAGAGACCTTGGTTCAAGCCTTGCTTGACATGGCCACCGACTTTCTTTTTCTGTGGGACATAATGCATATAATCCTGGTTTATTTCTTTATTTTTTAAAATATGTTTTTATTGACTTTAGAGAGAAAGAAAGGGAGAGGGAAAGAGAGAGATAGAGATGAAGAGATAAAGCGAAAAACATCAATGTGAGAGGGAAACATTGATTGGCTGCCTCCCACAGGCACCCCAACCAGCGGCTGAACCCACAACCTGGGCATATGCCCCAATCTGGAATCGAACCAGCAACCTTTAGGTGCAAGGGATGACACTTAACTAACCGAGCCATACTGGCCACAAACCTGAGCTCTGCTATTCCTAGCTGGGTGTCCTACAAGACCTCTAAAATGGGGGTGATAATAGCAATATCACAGGGTTGCTTGAGGATTAGGTGAGATGGACTATCTGGAACCCTGACCTATGTCGGCCACTTGTGGTACATTGCTTCCCCTCTCTGTTCTGGCGTGTGGCTTCTCTCACTGAGTGGTAGGCTCTCTGTCCTTTCTCCTTCAATCTGGCTGGCTTGTGACTTGCTCTCAACCATAGAATATGGCAGAAATGATGCTGGGCTGGTTCCAGGTCCAGTTCTTAAGAGAACTCAATGCTGCTGCTTTTGTGCTCTTAGAACGCCAAGACTGCCATGCTGTGAGGAAGCCCAAGCTAGTCACGTGGAGAGGCCGTGCAGAGAAGAATCGAGGCACCTGGCCAGAAGCCCCAGTCCAGCCCCAACTAAATGCAGCTGCATTAGTGACCTCTAGAGAGACCAGCAAAGGTGCCCTTTAACCCTCAGCATCATGAGAAATAATGAGAAAAAACACTTTTTATGTTAAGACACTGAATTTTGGGGTGGTTTGTTACACAATAACAATAAATGTTATACTCTTCTGCTCACTTCTATGTTTGGAGTTTTCCATAATAAAAGAATACATATGAATATATATACCATATACAGGGAGCCCCCACCAAAATGTATACACACTTCAACAGCTGATAGCTCAATTTTGAAAATGAAATGTATTTTAATAAACACTGCCTTTATAATTATTCAAAGTGTGCATATACATTTTTGGGGAAACACTATATATGAATAGGTAATGGACTAGATCATAAAAACTGCCTTTATGAATTGCAGCTAGTATCATTTGCATCTATCTTTAAAAAACAAATACATACACACACACACACACACACACACACACACACACACACACACTAGAGGCCCAGTGCATGAAATTCGTGCACTGGGGGTGAGGGTGTCCCTCAGCCCAGCCTGCACCCTCTCCAATCTGGGACCCCTTGGGGGTCTCACAATCCGGGACTGCTGGCTCCCAACCGCTCGCCTGCCTGCCTGCCTAATTGCCCCTAACCGCTTCTGCCTGCCAGCCTGATCACCCCCTAACCACTCCCCTGCCAGCCTAATCGATGCCTAACTGCTCCCCTGCAGGCCCAATCGCTCCCAACTGCCCTCCCCTGCCAACCTGGTCACTCCTAACTGCCCTCCCCTGCAGGCCTGGTCACCCTTAACTCCCCCCCTGCAGGCCTGGTCACCCTTAACTCCCCCCCTGCAGGCCTGGTCACCCCTAACTTCCCTCCCCTGCTGGCCTGGTTGCCCACAGCTGCCCTCCCCTGCTGGCCATCTTGTGGCAGCCATCTTGTGACCACATGGGGGAGGCCATCTTGTGCGAGGCGTGATGGTCAATTTGCATCTTACCTCTTTATTATATAGGATTATATTTATTTCAGCGAGGAAGGGAGAGGTAGAGATAGAAACATCAATGATGAGAGAGAATCAATGATCGGCTGCCTCCTGCACACTCCATACTGGGGATCGAGCATGCAACCTGGGCTTGTGCCCTCACTGTGACCTCCTAGTTAGGGGTGGGCAAACTTTTTGACTCGAGGGCCACAATGGGTTCTTAAACTGGACCGGAGGGCCGGAACAAAAGCATGGATGGAGTGTTTGTGTAAACTAATATAAATTCAAAGTAAACATCATTACATAAAAGGGTACGGTCTTTTTTTTTTTTTTTTTTTAGTTTTATTCATTTCAAATGGGCTGTAGTTTGCCCATGGCTGTTAGTTCATAGCTCGACATTCAACCACTGAGCCAGGCCGGCCGGGCTGCTTCTACCTTTTTGCCTCTGGGCCTTTCTTGACTCTTTCCACCACTGCTTGTTATTAACGCTTTCTCGCCTCTCTTTCCGTTTTCTCGCAGTGTCTACTCCAACCCCCAGCAGCCACTTTCCCCTCCATTGATTTTGCTCCACGACATTGAGCTCCTTGCTGATCCTAAAATGTGCCGAGCTTTTTCCTGCCTCGGGGTCTTGTCGCCTGCTTTTCCCTCTGTCTGAGCACTTTTTGCCTCCAATCCAATCTCCTCATGGATCACCCCCACCCCCACCCCCACCACACACACACACACACATACACACACACACACACACACACACACACACACACTTCATCCAGCTCTCTGATCAAGATTGTCTCATCCTTGACCACCTCTTCACTGCTGGCACCATAAATCATCCTGTATCCTGTTTCATTTTTCCCACTAGCCCGGCACTTCGGACAATCTAGACCAGCGGTTCTCAGCCTGTGGGTCGCGACCCCTTTGGGGGTCAAATGACCCTTTCACAGGGGTCGCCTAAGACCATCGGAAAACACATATATAATTACATATTGTTTTTGTGATTAGTCACTATGTTTTAATGATGTTCAATTTGTAACAATAAAAATACATCCTGCATATCAGAGATTTACATGACGATTCATAACAGTAGCAAAATTACAGTTATGAAGTAGCAACGAAAATAATGTTATGGTTGGGCGTCACCACAACATGAGGAACTGTATGAAAGGGTCGCGGCATTAGGAAGGTTGAGAACCACTGGTCTAGACGGTCCTGTTGGCTCATTTTCCTAGTTGGTTAGGACAGGGATCTTGCCTCCCAGCGTTCAGAACAGTGCCTGCACCTCAGAGACGCTTCATGAATGTTTGGTGAAGAAATGCTCTTGTTCAATGGCACTGACTGGCTCTCCTTCGACGCTCCCCTCTCACCCTGTTCCACTCCGTCCTGGAGCGGGGAGGACGTCATTCCCGCCGCCCCCTGCCATTTCTGCCCCTATTAACTGAGTTGCTGTCTGAGGTTCTGAGACCCAATGCTACGGACCTGTCCTTGGTGCTGACCTGGGCTCCCACTTCCTTAAGCTGGGAGAGCAGAGGCACCTTGGGGAAGGGGCAAGGTGTTGTGTGATCCCAGTATATATCATCGGAATCACGGAGAGAAGGGACACCGGAATCCTGAAAGGAGGGAGTGCCTGGGTCACTGTTCAGCAGGCATTCGCTCTCTCTGTCTACCCTTTCTATTACAGAAACCTTCAAAATACAGGAGTGAACAGAGGCGTACAGCAAACCTCCACGCACCCCTTTAACAAGTACCAACATGCGGTTAATTGCATTTCATCTAGGCCCCACCCACTTCCTCACTTCCGCTACCATTTTAACGCAAACCCCAGACATGATATCATTTAATTACATGTTGTATTTTTAGGTTTGTTCCTTTCTGCTGAGGTAGACTCACACATTGTTACGTTCACAAATCTGAAGTGTGCACATCGATGCAGGCCTGCCTGTGCACGGAGCATCTCCACTCGCAGCAGGTTCTCTGGTGTCCTCTCCCAACTGATGACCCAGGTGGCCAGGAATCTGACCTCTAGCCCCAAAGATGAAACAGCCACACTACGGGGGCCCAAAGACCTGGCCTCTAGCCTTGACTTTGCCTCTGGCATCTTTTCTTTTTGTATGTATGAGACATACCATTCATGCAGAAAGTGCATAAGATATCGAGGAACATTTGGGGCACATAATTATATAGTGAACCCCCATGAAATCATCACACTCACAGCCAGGGAGAATATTAGCACTGTATACACAGACCATGCCTTTGTGCAGAATCTTCCTGACTGCAAGCCCCTTCCCAACTTCCAGAGGATGCCCGAGGCCGGTCCATCCTTGCTGCTTGACACAGTCGCTGCAGGGAAGAAACATCTGCACAGCATATGTTTCAAGGGACCTGGCATATATGGCATACTGTTCTTAATATGTTTGCTCCCCTTCTTAGCGCTATGTGTTTTAACCAAGGTCACCTCTCCAAGAAAGGTTGTTTCCCCAGGTGGGGATGTTTCCCTGGAGTTAGGGATTAACAAGACTAAGGAAGGGAATAAATCAGTAAAACCCTTTAACTAAGTGCCAGGCGGGTAGTTAATCACTTTAACTACGAACAATCACGCTTAAGCTACATAATCTTTACTTAGGATAATCTCCTTCAGTTACTTCCTTGTAGCTTAACAGAACAATAGAGTAGTGATCTTGGAATGGAGATAACAAATGCCCTAACCTTTGGAATAGAATGGATAGGATTAAAATCAACTGGTATAAATACAGATATAACAAGACAACAGAACACAGAACCTGGCTAGAGAACCTGGCTAGGCTGCTGATCAACTGAATGCTGTCTCCATGTCATTCCTTCTTTGCCGACTCCGTCTACACCTTTGGGAACCCCTGGACCTGCTGGGGCAGGACCCCAACAAGAGGAAACCACTGTCCTCACTCTTAAGGAACTTCACCCCTCCTAATCCACAGCCCCCCTCCACACACTCTGTGTACTCAGTCCCTCCTTCTCCCCACAAGCCCTTCAACAGTAAGTGGCCCCTGACCCTGGAGACCAAGAATGGGAGACACCATCACCAACCTCTCGCTGGTCTCCCTGCCTCCAGTCTCACTCCCCGAGTCTGTCCCCTGTCTGACCACAGGAGGAGCTGACCATCCCCTGGCTTTGAGCAGGCCTCTCCCCTGCCCTAAGCCTTGCCTTAGACCCCCATTGGCTGCAGGGGAAAAGTCAGGAAATTTCATCCTCACCCCAGGGCCCTGCCACCCTCTGCACGCCCATCTTCCCTTTCTCACACTTTATACAGCCTCGGTGCACACTGTCCTTCCTCCCTGGACTGCCCTTGCTCCTGCTCCTTTGCCTATTCCTACTAGTCATTTCGCTGTCCTTTCAGAGGTTCATTCCCATCGGCAGCCGTCCCTGGCCTTCCTCTTTGGAGCTCCCTTAGGCCCTCGGACTTCATGCTTTGCCCGCCGTGAGTTTCCGGGTTTGTGACGTCTCTTTCTAGACTAGGACGCCAAGTTGGGTCTGACTCAGCACTGAGTCCCTGGCATCACCCCGCTCAGGACAGGTTATACATGTTCTCTGGTGTCCCTCCCTGCGACTCTGTCTCTTCCTGTCCCTGCTCTGTCCTGCTCTCTCTCTGCCATTTAACCAGGTTTCCTGAGACCTTGTCTTGGGCAGGTCCCTCTGCCTGGAATGCTGTTCTCCACTCTGTTAGCCTGGCAACCTCCTACTCATCCCTCAGGACCCAGAACCCACTTCATCCTCCATGAAGTCACCCCCGATGTCCCAATGCCCCAACCCTCCAGGCAGAGGTTTCTTCTCCACCTTCCAGCACAAGCACCCTCCTGTTTACGCCTGTTCTCTCTCAGGGCTGTGTTCGCCCGGGCTCCAGTCTCTGTCCCCATCAGACCTAGCATTCCTCACAGGTAGGGCTCTCCACATCACCCAGAGCAGAAGAATGAATTGCAAGTGTTTGCTGACTCTCTAGTGAGATGACTTCTGCCTCTGTCTCTCTATTTGCATGAGCTGGTCCCTCTGTCTGGAATGCCAGTCCCTTTTCTTTCCACATGATGTGCGTTAAGACCTGTCACAAGTGTCTCCTCCCTCTGGCCCCAGCCCCAATGTGTCCCTTCCCCAACACTAGTCCCTCTTGTCCCCGCACATCCCTCCACCGTAGGCCTGTGGCTGTCTGAGCAAGGACCTGCCTCTCCCATCAGACTGGGACTCACCTCCGTGGCCCCAGTGCCCGGGAACACAGGAGGCTCTCAGTGAAGGCTGGACACCGATACGGATAAATCCACGTTTGGTCAGGCTGGTCCCCTACTGCCCTCAGCTGCATTTCAGAGACCGTGTCTGTAGCGGCCGC